CTGGCAACACATTCAGCCCCCCTCCAGTTTAGGTAAGCGCACTGGATGTTCCAGTCAGTTTGCATACAATATTTTGAGTTGAATTGACACTGCTTGTTTTCTTTGGCTGCTAATGCGCGCGCATCAGAGCGCATCTTAGTCCTTGAATGTAAAATAACCCTGATCTTTTTAACTCTGTTTAAAATGTGGTGGCTATTCAGAGTGTATAGGCCTTTGTGTTTTTAGCCTACACTAGTTAGTTATCATTACACACTCACGTGGGCAGTCTGTGCTTGGTTGAACATTATGGTTGTGACGGTACACTGTGAGAGTGGCCTGCACCTTCGTGTCCGAGGAGAATGGACGCTAAGGCCCACATTATATGTAAATATGTAAAAGCAGATATCTAAATTGTATTTTAATTTGAGAAGTGGATTTTTAATTTTATTTTATTTTTTTAATTTATCTGGCTTCATCAACACCCATCAAATATTCACACATTATAGCTAATACACAACAGTTTCCATAATTGGTGAGCTCGCAAGTTTAAAACAGCCATACCTAGTTTACTGAAGAACATCTGTGTATCTAGGATGGGCATGGATGAAGATAACGTGTGTTTGTCTGCAGATGAAGTATTGAAAAAAAGTAATAGTTCTTACATCATAACATGTGTCTGACTAGACTGCATTTGACTATTCGTTATTGGCTATTATAAGTTGTCTAATTGGGTTTACACAATAGGCACCCCCTGTTGTTTCTTAAAAGTGCCGGTAGAGACCGCTAGAGCTCTACAGATGTCAACAGCTGTTAACGTTATTACTGCACTCACACACAGGCTGCCTAACAAGGAGGACAAGTTGTCTGTACTTGTGCCATCCAGAACGGGGCAGATCAGGTTCTCCTGGAGAGGATTATATATTTATTTAACTATCTATCCAAATGTTCTACGCATTTACAAATAATAGTTGTCCCCTTTTGATTAATCTGAAGAAGTCTCGGAGACTGGAGCCATTTCTCCCTCCTCCCTGCCGGTGTCAGTGCGATACTGAAATGGGAAGTGATTAAAAAATAATAAACCCCTTTTTAGCAATTCGTCTTACACAGAAAAAAGATTAAAGCGAATGGCACAGTGTGGCATGAAATTCACCGTTACAAATAAACTGGTGGTTTAACAAATGAAGGCATCTCCTCGGGGCATGGGCGCACTGCTATAATCTCGCCGTGACATGTTTAATCATTAGAGGAAAGCAGACGAATAAAGACTTTTGCCCGGGAGGGAAAGGTGGCTGGATTTCTGTTAAAAAAAAAACAACCAAACGGGCTCCAAAATGATTTCTACCCTGAAGCCAAGTCTCCCCAGGCCATGGCTTAGCCTCATAATAAATAAACCGGGCCCCCTTTACCTGCATATTATATATAGGCTTTTAATCATAGAAGGAGGAAATCGGTCTTGTCACTCTGTACATTTATCATGGGCAGCCTGAGGCAGGCGGGGTTACCTTTATCAAAGACTAACTCCCCGCCTGAGGCATCCAAACACGCTGAAATTCAGCGATTAAAGGAGGGAATGATCAACATTATTATGGATTCTCCTGCGGCATTCCTATTTGTGCATTCAATCGAAAGATTTATTTAATCAAGAATATAAAAAGCTCTTTCTTCACTTATTTGGGAACAATCGTGGGCATGAATTTTAGGAGGGAATTATAATTAATCAGACGAGGCCCGTTTTTTGGGGTTCATCCGAAAAATTAATTGTTTTTGGATGAGTCCATTCTGCTGTACGTTTGATTGCAAAGCCGGGATCAGAAAATGTAACGAGCTCTAATAATGAGCCAGTCAGCTCTGTTGCTTATAATATTAAAATGGGAGCACTGGCAAAACTGGTGATAGCATAATTATAGCTGCAATGATCACATAAAAAGGTTAGTCTTGTGCGTGCACTGTGCAGTTTTATGCACAAAAGTCAAATGAAATAACCAATGAGAAATACTATTGCAATGTATGGTTTGAGTGTCAGATCGGATGATAGTGACAACTGAACTCAAATAAGCGGGTGATGGGAAGCACCAGCTCTGCGCCCCGTATTGTCCTTTTAAATCCTGACGCATCTGCAGCTCAGAGGCCTTTCTTTACTATATCGTCTCTCTGGTTTAATACCCCCAACACAGAGACACGCACACACAAACACACACACGCACATTTCACAGCAGACACACAGTCCTAATTTAAGATTGAGGATGATTTACCCACGGAAAAGGAAAAGCGGTGGTGTCCAAACATATTTACAACGATGTTTCAACTTTCTCAATTTGTTCAAAACGGGAGATTTCATTTTCACGACTTAATAATTGCAAAAAAAAACACAAATTTATAGATGATAATGATAAAAAAATAATGGAAAACGCCACTACATCATTTATAATAATAGCCTAATAATAATAGTAACAATAATAATAATAATAATAATAATAATAGGCTAATACAGTCTTCCTCCTGTAAAAAAAAAAATAACAAAGTCGCAAAATCTGTATTTTACACTACATTAATTTCGCATAATTTTACATAATTGTAGCCTGAGAGTATCCTGAGCAGATTCACTGGACTGTGAACATTTTCCGGTGTTGGTCCCGTTAACTTGTCCCGCTCTGCAAAACAGTCTGCATACTGGCCACTGTCAGAGTGGGGAGGCAAGCGGCCTGTTTGAACTTCCTGTGAAAGTAAACAGGTAAACACAGCGCGATAGGCTCTCAAAGTGGAGTACGTCCACTTAGCCTGTGCACATTTACCTCTTCTTGCCGAAACCCTCGGCTCAATTGATCAAATAGTACATCCCCAGCAACTGGCCACAGTCTGCAGCCCAGTGCGCTCCCATGCACCGTCACCCAACCTACTGTGACTTCCCCCTTGTCACTGTGCCACACACAGCAAAAGCATAGCAGAATGGCACGGCTGATAAGCCTGCGTGCTCTAACACATCCTGATTTGGCTCCACACACTTTTGAGGCACTAAATAAGTCTCAATGAAATATTGTCCTGCTAGGGCCAAGTCAGTTTCCTGATGAGATGCGGCTACAGCCTGCCATTCCTCCGTGGTGCCTAAAGCTCTCTGGGTGTCTGCTGCGGGCTGGATGTCCCTTTACATGTCGGATTTAGCTGTGCAGCATTACTTGGTGGATCAGGTCAGTAACCTCTCTCTCCCTCATAGAGGCTCAGGCGCAGCTCCAGTTTGCCCATATAGCCCGTTCAGCTCAATGGAGCCTTTGTGGGATGTTGAGACTTGTGATTAATTCTGCTAGTCTGGTGAAATATTTACCTCAGGCCTGAATGTCAGGTGCACGTCTATATGGACCAGAAACCATATAAAGTGTATTACAAAGATCTGTAAATTTAACACTATATCATAGCCTATTGAATTTGTACAATATTATTATTAGGATACTACTATTACAACTACTACTAGCCTACTAATAATAAAATTATTAATAATAATGAAGATAATAATAATAATAATAATTATCATTATGAAAATGATAATAAAAGTATTTTGACAAAGTGCTGATATCTATTCAATTTAATTCCGTTTTAATTCAACAATCTGTGGAACTAAAAGAAACTAAAACACACAATAGTTCCTGGGTTCTCTACGAAAAGGAGACAGACTACTGTGTGTGTATGTGCGTGTGTGTGTGTGTGTGTGTGTGTGTGTGTGTGTGTGTACCGACATGAAGGACTTTCCTTAATATTGTGGAAGGATCCAGGAATTGAATGAAGAGATAGTCCATTGAAAGCAGTTGAATGCCATGACAACTAGGAACAACCTCAGATTTATTCCAAACAGTTAGAAAGCATTGTGCATGGGGCGTCAATCATCTATTATTTCGCCCCTGAAATAAATGCAAAAACTGCGGCCGGACAAAAGCTTCCAACAGGAGCCGGACATTTGTCTACATTTCCTCCATTGTCTGCAGCTTAGCAATCGGTTTGTATTTGTGTTTGCCCGGGTACGACCACCCAGGATGCGCAGGGGACTTGCTAAAAAACGTGAAACATTGTCACCCACATCACATACTGGATAGGAGGCAGAGGGAGGAGAACGAAAGGGAAAGTCTTGAAGGGGAGGAAAATAAAGTAACTAACAATGATGCTCGGATTTCCACAGAAAAAGCAAGATGGAGCACTTTAAAGGGGGCTCCACACAAGCAGAAAACAAACATCAGGATGTGCTGTCATGATGAAACTGAAGAGATTTATTGAAGAAAAATGCAAAAGAAAAAACAAATGTATAATAGTATAATTGCGCGATAAAGTCTGCAGATATGTGTAAGAAAAAAAGATTTAGGCCTATTGTTGTTATTATAAACCTGTAGTGATGTGCTATAGACACATAATAATGGTTATTGTTATTATTATTATTATTATTATTATTATTATTAATGTTGTTGGTTTTATCGTCCTCATTATCAGTGTCACATTTGGATAGGCCTACTGTCTTAAATACTTGCTTAGCGTTTTCAAACAAACAGAGTCCTGCTTCAGTTTCAACACAGCCTCTTGTCCATAAGCCCTGGCAAAAATATTGACACAAAAGGTTTACATAAATTATCCCCGAATATTTGAACAATGGCAGCTCTTGCTCGTGGTTCCCATCGCAAAAATAATAAAGAATCACTTTGTGTACCGAACCGCAAAATGTAGTTTTTATGTATGAATATATTTGTGAGGAAAGTAAAAGGCAAAAACGTCAGTGGCAGCAATTTGTTAAAACGGGCTTTTTAAGTATTGTGAGTATAAAGCTACTTGGAGGTTCTTTGTATGTAAATAGGGTGTAAAAAAGGCCCTCCCCGTCTTTGTAATTAATTGACACGTTATACCACTCATCATGCTCTGAAGCACCAATGGTAGAGGCTCGGATCTCCCCAAAACCCACAATTTCACATCTGCAAACACTGTCTTCATCCACTTGACTCCTAAGACCCGCCCACACGTGGCCAACCTTTCGCGTTTTTTAATGCTTTTTCACTGCAGGTTCATGTGTTGAGACCAACCTTATATGGACTGATCGGACAAGGTAATGGCTTATTTCCCTCTAGCACCCAGCAGTAGCACAGTATCCATGAGCCACATATAGCACTTCAGCCACTTTGGCATTCTTCCTGGACTTACAGACACTGAATCCACTGCTACTTGTTTAGGCAATGGTTATCCACAGTGGCTGCTTTGACTGTACTTCAGCGTAGAGCGACTCTTACTCATCCTATTTTCCCTGAAACATCGCCTCTGCTTTTTTTTTCTTCTTTCAAAACAGCGGATTGTCAGAAAAGCTGGTGCAGCAACTTTTCCCTGCATATTCCCCCCCACCAGAATATGTCGTTGACCAACACAAAGACGGGCTTTTCTGTAAAGGACATTTTGGACCTTCCTGACACAAATGACGAAGAAGGATCTATCACCGGTGCGGAGGAAGACACGGAGGGATCGGAGACCACATCCACGACAAAAAACGCTGGAGTTTTGGTGCAAAGTCCACTAGAAAACGTTCAAAATCTGCCTTTAAAGAACCCCTTTTATGACAGTAGTGACAATCCTTACACACGATGGCTTGCTACTACGGACAGTATTCAATATTCATGTAAGTAGAGTCTAAGAATCCTTGTTGATCTTGTTGATAATGACTTCTGTGATAATTTCAAGCTCTGTGGTTACATTAAGCAATAATTGATGGCATGCAGCCTCCTATTCCACCCTAACGATGCCCTTGGGTGGCGTGCAGCATTCATCTTTATGCACAGTGCACTGCTGCGCTCGTCTTGAGGCGTTTACAGCTCAATAAATGCATGCAGTGTTTAGGCTCCACACACTTTGCATTGTAAGAATTTGATCGATAAAGCACAGTGGATAAATAAGGGGGCTTTGAGTTATTTAGAGTATAACCACGGTGTGAAAATATAAGACTGCATTCTGCTGGGATTTACAGGCGGACAATGCACATTTTAATGCTTCACTGACTCGCTCTGCTTGTGCAGATTTGGGCTGAAGAAACATCTTTTGGTGCTTTGCACTTCAGAATCACACCAAAAGAGTTTCAAATTAGCCAGAAGGTGCTCCTGTTTTTATCATTCAGCCATGCTCCTGTCTTGTAAATGTGTGTGTAACCCTGTTCTGACAAGTGCTCAGTCATTAGCAGGTTATTGTTCTTATTACGCAGCAGCACGATTCATCGCCAGCGCATCCAAACTTTTGAATGATGATTATATGGCATGAGCTTATGATAAATGCCTCTGAGAACTTTACAACATAACATTTTGACAGTGTTTCTCCCGTTTCTTGCCGCAGTGCACGGCCTATCCGCCAGCTCTCAGGACTCGGCCAAGTCCCCGGAGCCGTCTGCGGACGACGAATCGCCGGACAACGACAAGGAAACTTCCAGCAGCGGCGGCAGCGATTCTGGCAAGAAGCGGAAAAGGAGGGTGTTGTTTTCTAAGGCGCAGACCTACGAGCTTGAGCGCCGCTTCAGACAGCAGAGGTACCTGTCCGCCCCGGAGAGGGAGCACCTGGCCAGCCTGATCCGCCTCACCCCGACCCAGGTGAAGATCTGGTTCCAGAACCACCGGTATAAGATGAAGAGAGCCCGGGCCGAGAAAGGTATGGAAGTGACCCATCTCCCTTCTCCCAGGCGGGTGGCCGTGCCCGTCTTAGTCAGGGATGGAAAGCCTTGTCACACTCTTAAAGCTCAGGACTTGGCGGCCACTTTTCAGGCCGGGATCCCCTTCTCGGCTTATAGTGCCCAGTCACTCCAACACATGCAGTATAACGCGCAGTACAGCGCCGCGGCCACGCCACAGTTCCCCACAGCACATCACTTGGTGCAAACGCAACAGTGGACTTGGTGAGAGAAATTATAGAGACTTGGCTTGGAGGCACGATAGGGAGTTTCACCACAAAGCAAAGAAAAAAATAAAACACAAAAAACAAAAGACTTTTCATTTTTGCAGCTTGACTCATATATATACTACCATTTTTATTCGGGGCTCATGTGTGCGCCGTGTTTACATGTTTTCGTTAAGAGAACTGGGTCCAAACCTCTCCCTTATAGATTTTATTAAGAATGTCAATGCTCTTCTTGTGAAATTTTTTGTAAAGTATGTTGTGTGTTGGTTGTAGAGATGTTTTCCTCTTTTTTTCCTTTTGTCCCTTCGTGTTATTATCAGCACGTACGAACCACTTTATAATTATAGAAATTTTAATTTCTTGCTTCTTTTATGGACCGAAAAAATATTTATGGCCATGAATAAACACTGGCAACTTTTCAGCTATTTTCCTTTTGTTTTTATTTCCTGTAAATATTTTGTGGCAAATGTTTGCAACCTAGGGAGCTTTCGAGAGCGTAAAGCTGAGGATCGGCTTATATATATTTACAAATTTTAGCAAAACGGCAGGACAGCCGTGTCAGATCACACGTAAATAACAGTGTGGCCGCGCGGTGATGGCTAAGCATCCCAAATTTTTTATAAGGATTTTAAAATAAAATGCTGTGTTTCTGAAATGGGGGTTTGGTTTATATAAGTGTCCTTTTCGATTTGATCATCTTTGAAAGACATCGTTAAACATCATAATGGGAGGCGAGGAGCCAAACACTATATTGTGGCACAGAATAGAGCTTGACTCTGGGAATAAATCTCCAGCGCACTTCAGTTCATTCTTTTTAAGCAAATTTAATCCAGAGAATATTTTTTTCTGAATCCGAACACCTTACTAATAAAGAGCCTAAAGTCACTTGTGAAATGGGACTAAAATCCACTCACTTAATATAAGAGGGCTTCTCCACATAAGAAGCTTTTGAGTCAAAAGCACTCCTTTTTGTCAGCATCCCCAAACACTCCCAGCCTTGGGTGTAAAGTGGTCGACTGTGGGGGAAAATCGTTTAATGCAATGCTTTTTTGTTATCTTGTTAAGCGCTAAACTGCAAATAGTGCAGGAATAATCAATGACTCACCAGCCTTCTTTGTTTAACCACTGCCAACGCTCACCTAAAATGCGCACGGCTTAGATGGGCTTTAACCGCCCAATAAAGTTATTTTCACCTGATCATATAGCGTGTTAGTAATGATATTCCACATTAAAATATACTTAGCCCTATTAGTCACTGTGTTCTTTAAGGTGGAACCAAAACAAGCACAAATGGCTCCCTAGTGATCCGCAGCGCACTGCGGATTATCAGACTCCAGTCAATATCTTGGGTAAATATGATAACCTAGTAAAAAATCTATGCATTCTGTTTGTCCCGGGACAAAAATCTCACAACAGATGTTAGAGTCGCCCCTATCATCACTGAACAAACAGCCAAATTGGGTAGATTTGCTAATTATTTACAGAATTGAGTCTCAAGGGGCTACTGCTTTTGTGGGCGACACAGACTCAATTTGTCTCTGACAGAAACGGTTTGTGTCTCAACACTGGTTGAGCTTGTTGATCAAATAAATCAGCTATTAGCTCATAGATTTTGTTTTTTATGTCTTTGTCGATAGACAAGAAATACGCAGCGTTCCTTATAGCCAATGGTCCCATGTTAGAGGGAATCGACGTGAGGAGAAATATGTTATGAGCCGGGTATTAAAAAGTGAACTGCCAAAGGCGGCGATTAAGGATTGGCTGACTGTGATTGGATTTAGCTGAACTCTGTTGATGTTCTTGCTTCTTTCAAATAAAATTCAACACATTTAACTAGTCTTAAGACAACACCAATATATTTAAAACCCCATAGGTAAAGAAAAATGCAGACCTTTTCGTGGCCAGACTCTTTGCCCTCAGATGTAGCCTCTCTCATGAGGCGTTTTTGTGACTCTATAATTGCATAATACAGTACACAACACAACACAGAGACAAAAGCCCAGGCCTGGTTTTGCTGGATGTTAGAGGCGTGCATGTTAACGAGTAGCAGGAGTGGGAACGCAGACAGTGTAGATAGAGAGACTGACAGAGTTTCTTGGTGCTGTTCAGAGTCAGGGAGATGCATCCTTGGGCTTTTTGTCCTGCCTGTCACTTGGTGCCATTGTGATCTTTGCTGCACACGTTGTATCCCATATGGGCAGCTGGGCTCGGACAAGGAGAAAAGGATCTCTTACAAACCCTAAATTGTACCAAGCTTTCAAATAAAGCATTGTTGTCTCTCAAAGAAAAACGAATTAAAAATTCGTGCTATATCTATTCTGGTCAAAAAAAGACGCCCCATTCACAGATAACAGGGAGTCCTTCTTTCTTGATAGAGCTATGCCAACAACAGCCTTCTCATCTCTCTTTTCGCTCTATCCCCAATTCTCCAAACTGAAAGGCTGATTATTGTCTGTCCTCAAAAGTCGCTCGTCACAGCGCAAAAACTATTTTTAATACCAGACAGTGTTCTTCCTTGTTTGCTTTGAGTCCCACTGGTATGCGTGGGCCCATTTCTAAAACAGACACATGGAAAAAATATTTGACACCATTTGCACCCATCAGTCCGTTTTATAGATTTCCGCGTCAGGTGTAAAACTGAGCTACTGTGCACATTGTGCATCAGTTAAAGACTGGATTTTACAAAACTGGATTTTTACGCCAGCGTAGGACTGTAAGTTATATGCCAAGGCGCTTTTTTTATGGGGGTGGCAATTACAGAAATATGCAAATAGTACGACTAATTAATCTAAGAGGTAAATGTTGATGCTGTCATTTGCATTCTAATTTTATTGTGAATCCGATGATCTGGAAGTGACGCTGTGGGATGCAGATGTTTTTCCATGGGAACAAAAACAGGGGATATTGGCAGGTGTTTAGTGGACTAATGCGCCAAGATCTACTGCAATGGGAGAGACTAGAAATGGCTTCATGAAGAAGGCTCTAGTATTTCTAAGTATCATATTTATTGTACATTTACATTTCTACATATTTTTTTGTATTTTATTATACTTTCTGTGTTTTTTCATGACCCTGCGAATCTGACTCTAAAGTATATTGAGCCTGTTTGTCTACAAATTTATTGTAGATTTAAACGCCTAAATAATTTATTTGTGCATCCAGTCATTCTCTGTTGTGCCCTCCCCCCAAATGAAGCAAAATAAAAAATGCTAGCTGTGTAAAAGCCTTTATGATAAACTTTAACGTTGAACAATATTCGCTTTGCACCAGTGTTTTGTCATTAACGCACCAGAAAATTACCCCACTCCTCTACCAGCTCAGCAACAGGGTCAGATTTATTGGAAATTGCTTTTGGCTGCTTGAAGGGATAAAGCAGGCGACATTAAAACAAGCATCTTGGCGTGCGACACAGTTCAACCTGCGTGGATAACACTATTATATACCTTGGAATACAATACTTGAGGAAATATGCACTTGGGACACCATGGATCTTCGTCATCCTGCCCATTTGAACCTCGACATGAATCATTTTTCTATCATGCACATCTCCAAATAAACGAGGATTTCAAAGCTATAAAAAAGCGGTGCTTTTTCATTTAAAGGAAGCTATCTGGGTTTTATTGCCTTAAAGGAGATCCAGATTAGATTCGCCACAGTGTCGATATTAAACAGAGAGCCAGTGATGGAGAGGCGGGAATTGTTGCGCCAAGCTGCCACAAGATGGAAGCAGAGGTCTTCAGTTGGCGTCATGCAGCTTTTACCTGCAAATGTGTCCAACTTGATCTATTTACGGCACTACAAATTACTGCAACTAAATTATATTCCAACTGCTGAAATTACCGCGTTTTTTTTCTTTTTCTCCTTAATGAACAAACTTGTCTGTCTTTTTAAGTGCTTGATTGCGGTTTATGACATTGTTATGGATCTTGAGAGCATAATCATATCGCTCTTGAAAAACAAACTAGACTCAACGTAAACAGTCCACAGGCAATTAGCGCCGCTTCCATTTCAAACTTAGAGAGAAAGAGAGAGAGAGAGAGAGAGAGAGAGAGAGAGAGAGAGAGAGAGAGAGAGAGAGAGAGAGTTTTTCCACGGTGTGGCGCAATAGGATAGGGGGACAAATATGGTGCAGATTAATTCAGTGAAAGTGAACAATAGAGCTGAAGTGAGGTTTTCCAAGAAAAGTCTGAACTCAATCAGTGTCCTTCACAGTCAAATGTCCTCTGCAATATGAAAAACGGAATCATTTCACTTCTATAGCTACTAGAAGTGATCAGAGAAAGCGGTTACTTTTCTATGACAAGAATGACTTCTTAAATAGTAGATCTATGGGACCTGATGGCTCTAAAATACAAAACAAAATATAATCATATTTGGTACCTAGAATCTACTTTCTTGCATTATTTACATGTCTATCACGTCCAACAGTTATGTCCACTTACTTTCCAGGCTGCAAAGGGCCTGAGCACCATCATCTCCTCATGCAGAGAAGAATAATGCAAAGCACTGCAAAATGGGTCAAATGACAAAATAAAAGGCTACCATCTTTGTGCACCTGCTCAGTTCAGCATCAGTGAGCTTGCACCTGTAGGGGGCCTCATTGGGTTAGAAAGCTGCAGCAGCAGGGGGTGGAGGGAGGCTGAACAGGATGGAAGAGGAGTGAGAGAGGAGGACAAGAAGTGTTTAAGCTGCAAGAGTTTTGCCCACTTTATTAAGGTTGGTGTGTGTGGGGGGGGGAGGGGTACACAGAAAGAACAAACAGCTTGCAGCAAATCTGCACATTACAACAGCGAAGATATCAAAATGGATGATATCTCAAAATCTGGTCTAGGATTTCTTCTGCTTAATGGTTTTATGGGAAGACAAATGTGGACATGAAAAAAGTGTCATCTCAAAATCTCATTAATATATTTCCAAATTAACTATCAACCTGCTTTCTATAATTGCTGGTGACATCAGCAATGTGTGTGTATTTGTGTAGGTGGCGGGTTGGTGTTTTTAGGGTGCATGGTGCTGTGTGAACCAGAGCGAATCCACACAGCAAATCCACAAGTTTTACTCAGTGGGACAGAGCGTCTACAGGGTATTGTTCCGATCAGCCTCCCACCTGCATGAGAAAAAGCTGGTGAGCTGAGAGCTGACTGACACGCGCCAGTGTCTGCGGGTTTAAACAAGGAAGAAACAGAAGAGCTGCAGCTTGATGACAGTTTTCTGTGGAGCTTAAGAGAAAGATACCTGCAGCACCCATGAGCATCTCCAACGTCTGTCATGTTGAGTTCATCTATAACATGAATTTAAAAATCGTATCCAATTTGAAAGCAAAGACCAGTCATTTGTATTATGTATGGCTAATAGAGAAAAAACATATTGCAGTATATGCTTACAACAATTCTATTTATTAGATGATGAAAAAAGGAGTAA